CCTGTGTAGGGTGGACTGCCCATTTAATATAACCATGAGATAAGGTGGGTGGCGCATGCACCCTAACCTTGGAGATCTAGACAGGATCCTGTCTTTTCTTTTTTCTTTTCTTTCTCCTTTTATCTCCTTCCAAAAGTACACAAAGGAGATCTTAAAGACATACAGTACATCTTAAATAAGTATAAGTAGCTGTTTGTCCCCATAACATCACCTTTAGGTTTTACTTTATAAATTTGGGGACAATTTGAAAATTTTAAAAGGTTGCTTTTTTTTACCCAAATATAAGTTAAAAAGAGGGAAAAAACAAGGCCTCAAACTTGGTTTTAAAATGATAAAGTAAACAAATATCCCACCTAACAATCTACAGCTCTTCTCTGTGACAAGGTATTTTTATAAAATAAAAATTTAAATATACTTTTAGAGATAAAAACCACAATGGCTCTAACTTAATAAGATAAACATAATTGTTATGCTAAAATGTTATCTTTGGTCCTGATTTCAAATTTTCCCTATCAAATTTTATAACTGTTTTCTGGTAATATTCTATAAAAATGTGACTTCTAAAATAATCATGGTTTAAAAATAGTTTTTATACAGTAGTACCTTGGTTCATGGACTCAATTCTCTCCATGATTCTGGTTGCAAACTGAACTGCAGAACCAAATCAAATTTCCCTATAAGGTGAATATTAAACCTAACCACTGAATTTGATTCAGTTCTCATCCAACTTAGTTTGCAACCAGAATCTTGGAATCATCTGTTGAGGCCCTGGTCCTACAAGGACAACAAGGGCCCAAGACATGAGGGGATGTCTTTTCAAGATCTTATAACTCAAAAGAGTCATCTAACCTCCTGAGCAGAATGATTATTAGACTCTGGAGGACTAGAGTCAACCCATGACATTGTGCTAAAAGGAATGTCACCAAAAAAACAAAAACAAAAAAACCCTTCTCCCATGCTCCTGAGAGAAGCCATACAGTGAAGCAGGACTGACTCATCCTGGCAGATGACATTAACCGAAGAGGCAAGAGGCTCTGTACATGGTTCCAAAAGTAACCTCTGAGAACCCTTAACTGACTTTGATACATAGCAAGAAGTTAATTTTAATTAACACAGGTCTTATTTTAACTTGGTCTTAAACACCCAGCAATGGGCTGGGGATTTAGCTCAGTGGTGCTGCCACCTGCCTCACAAGCACAAGGAAACACTCAGCAAAAAGTATAACAAGACATATAAAAATTAGTAACAGATTTTAGATCTACAAAGGGATCCCAAAGTACTATACTGACCCCTGCTGACAGTCTACAGCTACACCTGTAGCTTGTCTCTACTGTGGTTCAATGGGGTTAAAATGCCAGTGACAGCTATACAAGTTAAACAAAAATCTCCAAATTCCTTAGCTAAAATTGTCCTTTAAAAGCACAGGGACTTGTCTTCTTATGGGTAAAACCAAAAACCTTACATGCTTATAAATAAAGTCGTTTTTAAATAACATTAGATAAAAAGATCTTTAAAATATCAGGCTTATAACTTTCTAAATGCCAAAAAAATGAGAGGCTGTGATATCTATTCCCCACGCCACAATGTTGCTTTTTTACCAACCAGTCTAAAATAGTGGGAGATACACAGCACATAGGCATAAACCTCTAAAATCAGACTGCTTCGGTTGGCAACTATGGGTACCTTGAAATCCAAGGGTGACCAGTTCCAGGACTGTTGCAGATACTAAAATTTGCAGGTGCTTAAGTCCCTTACATTTATAATATAAATGGTATAGTATTCGCACATAACCTATACACTTCTACATATATAGTTTAAATCATCACTAAACTACTAATACCTAAGGCAAAGTAAATGCTATGTAAAACATTGTTACATCATATTGTCTAGACTATGACAAAAACAAGTTTGTATATGTTCACTACAGGGACAATTGTTTTTCATATATTTTCAGTCTGTGGTTGGTCAAACCTTGAGATGGGAAATTTATAGACACCTTTAAAGCTACATATGGTAATACATTTTCCAACCCACACTTCTCCTGACTTCTACTCAGGGCCCTTAAATAGACCTCATAGTGATGGCCCTTACTGCTGCCTGCCTTCTAACCAAAGTTAAGGTCACCACTCTTCAGGGGTTGGGTGTTCGAGACCAAAGAACAAAGGAACAAAGAGCAAAAGCCTAAACTAAATTAAGACAAGGTGAAATAAGCCTCAAGAAAAATAAGTCCAACCAGAATTGATGAAATCTGCTGGCGATGGGAAGGAAGCCTGGAAAAGTAGCAGCAAAACTGCAGCAAACAGTGACAAGCCTCATTTGTGGACATCCTCTCCTTTGTCTGCCCTCCAAGGAGCTACACATAAGGTTCTAAAATCAGGTGGTTCCTTGGCATCTTTGCTGCCTTGTTCTGAGGGATTTTCTTTGTTCTAATAAACCACACCTGATACCATTCTCCACTGCTTGTTGTTTATTGCGTCCTTCTTTGCCTCAAAACAAAAACCCAGGAGAGAACTAGTTATAAAAGCAACTGCAGCCAAGACTGACTCTGTGGATTTTCAAGTTATCTATTGTTTTGTGTATCAGAAAATTTCTTAAAGAAATTACAAGTCAAAGAAGCAGAATCAAGTTGTACATTTTAGGGTTAAAAAATTTACAGAACTTCTACATGACTTCTGAATAGGAAGAAATTTTATGGCCAATCGATACTTATATAACTAGAAAAGCCAGGAATAAAAAGTGTAGAACAAAAACGAACCTAAATATTCTAAATAAGAACTATTGGTTCGATAATTCATAACATCAAATTATGGAATATGCCACTAGCCAAATTTGTTTTTCTTAAAGATTAATTGTAGGGGAATACGAGGCCACAGCAATTGTAAAACACAGAAAATATTTTTTTCATTTAGAAATATGGCAGAATTAAATTATCTGCATATTACGATAGTTATGAATTTTTTTTCCTGTCTTTCCAAATTTTCTAAAAAGTTATTTAATCAGAAAAATGTTAAAATTAAAAATAGGTCAGGCCAGGGATTTAGCTCAATGATTCCAGTGCCTGCCTCACAAGTGCAAGGTCCCGAACCCAGTTCGATTCCCGGTACAAAAAAAAAAAAAAAAATTGAAAGTACGTCTGTCTTACACTACTTTAAACATGTTGTTTATGTAAGAACATTTCTATTGACCATACATTGCTAATAATTTTATTAGGTTTTATGTGAGCATATATAGTGAGCTTATAAGTTTCACTTAAGTAAAATTAACTGATACTCCTTTCATATAGCAATAATTACATTTTTTAAAACATGACTTATAAGACCTCAGTAAGTTAGCAAACCTTGGTTTTTGCTGTGTAAAAACTAAAGGTCATTATTCTGAAATAGACTATCAGCCAATGATGTCCTCTAGAGTTACTGATGGTTGTATATCTTATCTTCCCTGGCGGCTAAATTTCCCATAACTATTGTTTCAGGAAAGGGTATCATTCTCCCATTTCAAAACTTGAGGTCGGGGTCTAGAGCCATGTTATTCAAAACATTGCCAGCACTTGAAATGAGGGTTCTTTTTTTTTGGTACCAGGGATCGAACTCGGGACCTTGCACTTGCAAGGCAGGCACTGGAACCACTGAGCTAAATACCCAGCCCTATGAGTTTTAAAGACTAGCAGAAGCTCAGAACCAGTTCCAGACCTACACTAGAATCTTCATTTGAAGAGATTCCCAAGACTCATATTTATATTCTGAGAAACACTGCTGCTGTAGGCTACAAAGGTGTAATTTCCTGTGTTAAACATAACACAAATCCTGGTTTTTGCAGTTACAGTACCTCTCCAGTTGTAACCGTGTTTTCACATTGACTTCTTCATTTCTATTTTCATCTTGCTCTTGTATGGGAAACATGATCAAATCCTGTATATGAAGCTCAAGTATTTCCATGCTGAATCCCTCTTCCAGAGTAAAAGCAGAAGGGATGCAATTTTAACAGCAGTAATGTCTAAACTCAGTGCTCCAGACAGACACTTCTCTGCTGGAAGTGATGCGCCATAGATCACTATGTCCAGGCCTAAATCACTGCTGAGGCAGGGCCCTACAGGAGGAGGTCAGGTGACAAGAGGGCACAGTGTAGCGAGGCCTGGCTGAGGATTATCTTTCTTTCCACCCATTCACCAGAAAACCAAGCATTGTCTCCTGCATACCCTAGCCATTCTCTGTTCAATCAGGCATCCCCTTTTGGTTTCCTTATCTACACTATAAAGGTCCTGAGGATGCAAGCCAAGCTTTTTGCCTCATCAGGACAAAGAGTTATCCACCTGGCCTCAGCTATGTAAACTTTACTGTGACTTTGTCTTCTTGAGTTTCTGAATCTCTCACCATCATTTCTCATTCCGTGAACCCTTCAGCTTCAGCCACTCAGGCCAGGTGGGGGCACTTCTCAAGTTCTTGAATGTAGTACCTGCTGTGATTTTCCGGACATGACTGTATTGCTAATTTTCCTATTGAGTATGTTCAAATTTACACACTCAACTGATTTGCTTCCCTCTCAGAGAACTCAACTAGGAAAAAAAAATAAATGTAATTTCCTTCATTTAAAACCAATCCCTTCTTTCAGAATTGTCAGTAGTCCTTAAAAGAATGTAAGAAATTTGTCTCATTACCCATATTTAAAGCCTGAAAACAATTTCTAATGTGACCATTAATTCTGTCATTGAGAATTTTAATTTCTATTTAATTTCCACAAATTACAAAGTATATCAGATTACAAACATTTGCCCTCCAATAAATACTCATAAGTATAAGACAACCACTTTTAAAGTTATGAGACAAAGTTTGGGATAAGCATCATCTCTCTAAAGAAATACATAATATGCCATCTTTATCTCCTATTTTTAAGAAGTCATAGCACTTAATAGGTATCATATACTTTAATTTTTAAAATACTTATTTTAAGGAAATGATAAGGCAAAAAAAAAGCAAGTTTCACTTAAAAAAATAAAGACACAATATTCTTCAAGAAATCTTTAATTCCAAGAAATTAATCCAGAATTGAATATATTCCCTACTATTTGTACTCATGTAGTAGAGCAAACGTGAAATAACTTTCAATAGTATACAACAAAGACTTTTTTCTTTTATTAATATCTAATCTAATACAAGTTTCCTTATCTGTATATGGACTATACATAGTTCCATCTTAAAGACTCCTAATAGCATTGAACATTTTCTTGCAATTTCTGCTTTATGCCTATGAAGACTAACATCTGAACTTGTGATGGCTTCCTATCTTAAACCCAATTAATGTTCTCTGAAGAAAAATACTTCTGTAAGTTATGCATTCATCCTCTGAATTGATTAGTAACCCCAGGTGATTTTCAAATTGGGAGGCAAATTACTAGCAATAAGTTCATCAAATTTAGACCTGTCTTGAACAGGAACATTATAGAAATCAAGAACATCTCTGACACTGCACATCTGGTGAAGCCTGGAGTTAGGCACTGCATGGCCCAAGTCATCAGCTAGATGTGCCAAGAGACTGAACTTCATATGACAATCTTCTAGGGAGATGTCTTGCCAATTACTAGGAAAAGATGAACCAAAAATTTCTTTAATATGAGATTCCAAACGACTCTGGAGATCTTCAGGTGGTATGTATGTTCGGCTTCGTAAAGGTGGACAAACCAGGAGAGGTTCTTTTTTCACTTCTTCTGTCTCATTGACCACTGGTTCTTTCTCTTTTCTGGAATAAAAAAACAAATAAGTGGATCTGTGGTTCAGTGAATTAATGAAGTTAGGGCCGGGGATTTAGCTCAGTGGTTTCACCACCTGCTGCACAAGTCCAAGGACCCAAGTTTGATCCCCAGTACCAAAAAAAAAAAAAAAAGAAAGTGCCAGGAAGAATTAATGAAGTTAAACACCTGACTGAATCTTGCCCAACAATTAAAGTCAACAAATAGGCCATTCCACTGCTCCCAGCCTAGAGGAAGGGGCTTCCAGGCTGCTGTTCCAGCGCTCCCATCCCAGAGGAAGGGGGTTCCAGGCCGTTGTCCAACTGCTCCCAGCACAGAGGAAGGGGCTTCCAGGCCGCCGTTCCAGCGCTCCCAGCCTAGAGGTAAGGGCTTCCGGGCTGCCATTCCAGAGCTCCCAGCTCAGAGGTAGGGGGTTCCAGGTCACTGTTCCACCACTCCCAGCCCAGAGGAAGGGGCTTCCGGGCTGCTGTTCCAGCTCTCCCAGTCCAGAGGAAGGGGCTTCCAGGCCACCATTCCAGTGCTCCCAGCAGAGAGGAAGGGGATTCCGGGCTGCCGTTCTAGCACTCCCAGCTCAGAGGTAGGGGGTACCGGGCTGCCATTCCACCGCTCCCAGCAGAGAGGTAGGGGTTTCCTGGATGCTGTTCCACCTCTCCCAGCTCAGAGGCAGGGGCTTCCAGGCCACCGTTCTACCGCTCCCAGCCCAGAGGAAGGGGCTTCTGGGCTGCCATTCCAGCTCTCCCAGCCAAGAGGAAGGAAGGGCCTTCCAGGCCACATTTCCAGCTTTCCCAGCCCAGAGGTAGGGGCTTCCGGGCAGCCGTTCCACCACTCCCAACTCAGAGGCTTCTGGGCTGCCGTTCCAGCACTCCCAGCCCAAAGGAAAGGGCTTCTGGGCAGCCGTTCCAGCACTCCCAGCAGAGAGGTAGGGGCTTCCAGGCTGTCATTCTACCACTCCAAGCTCAAAGGTAGGGGCTTTCAGGCCGCCATTCCACCTCTCCCAGCCCAGAGGTAGGGGCTTCCAGGCTCCTGTTCCAGCACTCACAGACCACAGGTAGGGGCTTCCGGGCCACCAATCCACCACTCCCAGCTCAGAGGAGGTGAGCCACATGGGCAACCAACAGCAACTCCCCTCCAGTCAAAATGAGAAGACACGTAAACGAGTCTCAAAACCAGACTTCCAGATCACCTACAGCAACCCCAAAGGAACAGGAAATGGAACACTCTGATACTCAACCACCTGGACTCCCTGAACTGGCAACAAAAGAAGATCTGGAAAAAAAGAAATCAGAAATAATTCCTCAGATAACAGCAGGAATTGTGCTTATAGTGAAAGACATGATTAATAAATCTATAGAGGAGGGGAGGAACATGATGGAATCCCAACATAGGAAACAAATTGAATCCATAAAACAGATGCAAAACAGATTTCCAGGAGATCAAAAACGCCACTGAAAGTCTAAACAGCAGAATGAGCCAATGTGAGGACAGAATTTCAGATACAGAAGATAAGATTGTAATCAGTGACCAGGAAAAGAAAAATTGCTTCAAAAACGTAAGGGACAAAGAGAAATCAATCCAGCAGCTGCTAGACGATCCAAAGAAGAATAACATAAGACTAATTGGAGTCAACCAAGAAACAGAAGAGAGTGCAGATGACATTAAAAAAAATCTTCACAGAAGTAATGGCAGAAAACTTCCCAAACAGGGGAAAAGAACTTAACATACAGGTAAATTAGGCATATAGGACTCCAACAAGGCTTGATCAAAAAAAATCTACATAGGCATATAATTGTTAAGATTGCAGAAACCCAACAGAAGAACAAAATTCTACAAGCAGTGAGAGAAAAGAAACAAATCACATACAAAGGAAAGCCCATCAGAATCACAGCAGACTTCTTAACACAAACCCTCAAGGCAAGAAGAGCTTGGAGTGACATATTCCAAGCCCTAAAGGAAAACTGCCTCCAACCCAGATTGATATATCCTGCAAAACTATCTTTCAAAATTGATGGAGAAGATATTTTCATGACAAAGAGCACCTTAGGAACTTCAGGAATATCAAACCAGCACTCCAAAGAATTTTACACAATAGCCTAGGAACAGACATTGAAGATCACAACCCCAGGAAGCACAGCCGAATGAACCCATTGGGCGAAACAAGAAATTAAATGTTAAGGGGGAAAATCCAACAAAAAGAAAAAGGCATGGTAATGATAAATCAATAAATATTGGTTATAACTATCAATATTAATGGTCTCAATTCACCAATCAAAAGAAATAAGACTTGCAGAATGGATCAAGAAGCAAAATCCAACAATATGCTGCATACAAGAAACACACAATTCAAAACGAAACTCACAGACTGAAAGTTAAAGGGCGGGAAACAATACTCCATGCGACGGGAACCCCAAAAAAAAGAAGTAGCTATTTTCTTTGCAGATCCAGTAGATTTCAAAGAGATTGATAGATTTTAACAGAGACAAAGAAAGACACGACATCCTTGTATAGGAAACAATCCAACAGGAAGAGATGACAATCATAAATATCCATGCACAAAACACTAGTTCGCCCAACTATACAAAACAAATACTAACGGACATGAAAAGTCATATATGCACTAATTCAATAGTAATGGGGAACCTCAATACCCTAAAGACACAAATAGATAGATCAAATAGACAAAAAATAAATAATAAAATACAAGAACTCAATCAAACTCTTGAAAAAATGAACAGATGTTTACAGAGTATTCCACCCCACAAAATCAGAATACACATCTTCATCTGCACATGGGTCATTCTCCAATAGACCACATGCTTGCTCATAGAACATGTTTAAGTAAGTGCAAAAGAACTGAAGTTATCCCCTGCATATTATGAGACCATAGAGCAATGAAACTGGAGATCAATAGCAAAAGAGACTGGAAAAATTTCATAAACACGTGGAAATTGAACAACACACTTATGAATAACCAATAGGTCACAGAGGAAATTAAAGAAGAAATCAGACAATTCCTTCAATTAAATGACAATGACAATACAACATATCGGAATCTATGGGTCACAATGAAAAGAGTCTTACGGGGGAAATTCATACCAGTGAATACACATATTAGGAAAACACAGCAAGCCCAATTAACCTCATGCTGAACCTCAAGCTTCTAGAAAAAGAAGAGCAGGACAAACCCAAAGCTCATTCAAGGGAGGAAATTATAAAGATCAGAGCAGAAATCAATTCAATGGAGACTAAGAGAACAATACAAAAAATTAATGAAGCCAAGAGTTGGGTCTTCAAAAGAATAAACAAAATTGACAAACCTTTAGCCAACCTTATCGAAAAAGGAAAGAAAAGGCCCAAATCCACTCAATTAGGAATGAAAATGATGAAATTACAATGGACCCAGCAGAAATCCAGAGGATCATCAATACCTACTTGAAGACCTTATATGCCAATAAGATGGACAACACAGAAGAAATGGACAGATTCCTAGATACATACGAATTACCAAAGTTGAATGAAGACCTAAAAATTCTAAACAACCCAATATCAACCAATGAAATGGAAAACGTAATTAAAAACTTACCAACTAAGAAAAGCCCAGGTCCTGATGGCTTCACTGCTGAATTCCACATGACATTTAGAGACGAACTACTGCCATGGCTGCTTAAACTCTTGAATGAAATTGAAAGGGAAGCAGTACTCCCGAATTCATTCCTGGAAGCAAACATCATCTTGATCCCCAAAGCAGAGAAAAACCCAACTGAAAAGGAGAAGTACAGGCCAATCTCACTAATGAACATAGATGAAAAAATTCTTAATAAGATGCTGGCAAATAGAATGCAGAAGGTCATCAAGAAGATCACACACCCTGACCAGGGCCGGGGATTCAGTTCAGTGGTTCTGGTGCCTGCCTCGCAAGTGCAAGGTCCCAAGTTCGATCCCCGGTACCAAAAAAAAAAAAAAAAAAACCACACACACATACACCCTGACCAAGTGGGATTCATCCCAGGGATGCAGGGATGGTTCAACATATGCAAATCAATCAATATAATACACTATATCAATAGAGCCAAGGACAAAAACCATATGATTATCTCCATAGATGCAGAAAAAGCATTTGATAAAATCCAACATGCATTTATGATAAAAACCCTACAAAAAATTGGAATAGATGGTCTCTACCTCAATCTGATAAAAGCCATCTATGAAAAACCAACAGCCAGTATCATACTAAATGGTCAAAAACCGAAATCCTTCACACTAAAATCAGGAACAAGACAAGGATGTCCACTATCACCACTCTTATTCAATGTAGTTTTAGAAACATTAGCCACAGCAATTAGACAAGAGAAAGAAATAAAAGGAATAAAGATAAGAAAAGAAGAAGTCAAAATGTCAATATTTGCAGATTACATAATACTCTATATAGAAGTCCCCAAGAATGCCAGAAGGCTTCTAGACTTAATGATCAAATTCAGTAGAGTAGCTGCTTACAAGATCAACACACAAAAATCAATAGCTTTCCTCTATATGAACAACAGACACACTGAGACAGATATAGGGCAAACAATTCCTTTCACAATAGCATCTAAATAACTGAAATACCTAGGAATCAACCTAACAAAAGAAATCAAAGACTTCTCTGAAAATTATAGCACTCTGAAAAGAGAGATTGAAGATGATATCAGAAAATGGAAAGACATCCCCTGCTCCTGGGTAGGAAGGATCAATATACTGAAAATGGCCATGCTTCCAAAAGTGCTATGTAGATTCAATGCAATCCCAATTGAAATCCCAGCAGCATACTTCACGGACCTTGAGAAAACAATCCAAAAATTCATTTGGAACAAGAAGAGACTCAGAATAGCAAAATCAATTCTAGGTAACAGAGACATGGCAGGGGGTATCACAATCCCCAACTTGAAACTATACTACAAAGCTACTGTGATAAAAACAGCATGGTACTGGCAAAGAAACAGACCTCAGGGCCAGT